CGATGCGGCCCACGAAGGTGCCGTGTTTGGCCTCCTCGGCGACCGAGTACTGGACCTGGCCACTCCCCGCCTCCCAGGCTGCGAGGAGCAGAAGCGAGAGCAGCAGGCGCCGGTATCCCAGGGCTCCTCGCCGGGAAAACACCATTTCAAGTACTCGTTTTATTCCCGTAAGAAGATTTTGTCTTGAAAGAAAATGAACTATTGTATTGTGTGGAGTCTTTTAATCCAACTCCTCTTCTTCCGCCATTGTTCAGCATTTAGAGATAGACACAATCAGAGGGGTCGTCTTTGGATAGTGGCTGGAGAGAACGTCTTGGTAGACAGCGACATCATGCGGCTCCAAAGGGTAATGATTGCCTGAATTCACTTAACCTCCGCTATAATTGGGTTCTTTTAATCCGATATATATTTTATTTTCCTTATTCCTAATAGGATGTCCTTAAATTATCAAATGAAGAAGCGCTTTTATACTGTGTGGTAAGAAGAAGTTTCTTCCCAATATTTTAAATATTGGTATCAATTAGTAATAAATTTAAGTACGATCTGGACATGTCATGGGTATTAGAGGTATAAAATTATTTTCTATACTTCTGTGTGAAAGAAATGTGTTCATATTTATCTCGTCACAGGAAACGCTGGTATATATTACTCTGTGATGAAGATATAACTTTTCTGATTTTCATTGTACTTTTAAAAGTCTGTGAATTATAGTTCAGTTTCTATTTTTATTTGTTCAATGAAAGTCAAATATTCCTAATATAAGATCACTGAAACTTTGTTAAAAATAGACCTCTCATATACAACATCCTTCGTAAATTTCTCTGCCGCCGAAAACCTTATTACTATTTCAACTATTAGTGTTTTCTGTCAGTTCTTCATCTTTCTGCTGATCCAAAATATGGAGATTTTCCAAAGTTATGCCTTTGGCCTCTTTATCTTGTCATTCCTTTTCCTTTAAGTGTTTCTATTTTCTTCCACGGCTTGAAATACTTCCACAACTTTATTAGTTTAAATATTCCCAAATCCTATCTTCAACTCCATTTTTATTTTTCTACTTGACATTTTCACTTGTATGCCCTAACATAGCCTACAAAACAAGTTGACTAAAACTTATCTAATCAACGTTGTTGTTGTTGTGTGCCACAGAGTTCATGCCAGCTTTAACGAACTGTTACCTCAAAATCCAAATCTTTGAAAATCACATTTTGTTTTTATAGCATAACCTCTCTCCAAACTCACTTGTATGTAGGTTTCTTATGACTCCTCTACCCATGCCTGCCATATTGTTTGCCTACATCTCATGTCTCCTTTCACATACTGTGATTCTTGTATTTATGAGTATAGCTTACATTGAATTGCACTAAAACATCTAGCGAGTCCAGCACCTTTCTGATGAAGAAATGTCACATTATATTCACAATATGAGAGACCCCGTGTCTCCAACCACTTTCCAATATGAATCCTATTTTGCAAAAAAAGACTTTTTTCTCTTCCCCTACACACTCTTTTTTCAACATGTTTCTTCTATTACTTTGTCTTTATCTATCAAAATTCTATCCACGCTTCAAAGACCAAATCAAATGTTAATTATCCACATATTCATCATAAATACCTCAATTGCAGGTGATTGTGCTCACCTTTGAATTCCTGTAATAGTGATTATCCAAGGGGAAGACAAATGATCCTTCCCTCACTTATTCAAGACCCTGGCTGACTTGAAAAAGCCTCACAGGTGATTATGCTACAAAAAAATTACTTAACCAGGAGATCTGTCTTAATATGTTTAATTGGAATTACTCTAGAAAGGCTTATCACTGACCTTCTCTTTGTAGTTTTTTCAGGGGAAACCAAGGTTTCTGTCACTTATACTCAGAGATGCCTTCATAAAATACATATTATCCAGCAGCAATTACATTGAAGGTTTTCTTGGGTGGTTACATTTTTTCATAATCTTGGCCCTAACTGAAGAGTCTATTCAACTTTTAATTTTTAAAACTTAAGTAAAGCATCACCTATGGCTTTTTACTCAAGTTCCTAGCAATCCAGATATGTGAGAATGTGAGTAACAGGTAGCCACTGTGATAGTCACATTAGCTACAGCTAATAAACAATAAATGTACTGAAAATCCTTACATATTACAAGTAATATGGGAAAAGAAAATAAGGGTATTTATGAGAAACATTTGTCCTCACTTTACTCAAAGACTATCTCTGAAGTTCATTCTAAAGAATTTTAAAAAGTGAAAAATAACATTATTTATTGTCCTTGTGAACACTTTTTACCTGAAAAGAAAAATTCCATAGTCATGATATAAGTCAAAAAGTTTCAATATCTGAAAAATAATTTACCTTTAAAAAGTAATGATAGTTGGTGAATACAAATGAGGGTACTGAAGAGAATCCCTTATCAACTTATAATGCTGACCATGATATATGGAATTTTAGAAATTTTTAATAAAGCAACAGCATTTTAAAGTATTGTATGTGAAAACAAAAGAAAATCAGTAAAGAAATAAAATCAATTACAAGAACCATCTTCAAAAGTCTAGAACATACATAGATTTTCCATTAAATAGACTATTCTTTCAACAGGATCGGTAAAACTGTATTAATTATGATAGTTGCAAATTTACTGTTCATGGAAAATAGTTCCACTGATTATGGGACGGGTTGTTGAGTTCGTATACCTCTACCTTTATTTTAAAGTACGTTTTAAAAAAGCAAGATATCCTAAATATCTTAACAAAGTATGTTAATACATATCAACTATGAAAGTTGATTATCATTTCTAACAAATCAAATTATTTGCAAATTTTTAGGAACACAAATTTCAATAATCAAATTATTCTTCCAACAAAGTCCACAACAGAGAACTGGAAGAATAATGTGATATGATAATATAATAAAACAGCATGCAGTTATTTTTTTAAAAAATAAGGAAACAAAAATAATGAGGAAGCTGTTTGTGTCATAACATGGCATGAACACCTATATATATTAAAGCAGACAAATGCAAAGTGCAGAAGAATAGGTGTATAGTGTTTTTACTTGTTTTTTAAAAAAAGGCAGATTGTGTGTATATATGTATGTAATGTAAACATATATATATGTATGTATTATAGGGCTCGGAAGATACAAAACAAATTGAAAGGCAACAGAAATTCAGAGAGATAAAGTGAATGATTGGGATTGGAGATAGCAAGGAGATTTTTCATTACATACTCGGTTTGATTTCTTGGGTTTTGAAACATGTGAATATATCTCCTATACTAATAAGGAAAAATAAAAACTGCCATTTAAATGATATGTTAAAATCAATATTATTAATTCATCATGACCATGGAAAAGCAATTCTGCAATGTAACTTAAGAAGAAATCAGTAACTATACAAATAGTTACTGAAGAGAAGGTAAATTGCTATATTAAAAATAAAATAATTCAAATTCCATACTAAAAAGAAAAAGAAAATTGATTGGATGGTATTCGTTTATACTTTCTCATAAAATGAGAACAATACGTAGATTAAATATATCAAAATATTTTTCTTGAAATTATTTTACTAAATAATTTACTAAAGATTGAATCTAAAAGTGTGTACAGGTAAACATTTAGTTTTTAAAATCTACTATGTAAAATCCTCACAACCGGACCAGTAAGCAACATCATGATAAACGGAGAAAAGATTGAAGTTGTCAAGGATTTCATTTTACTTGGATCTACAATACCCACGGAAGCAGCAGTCAAGAAATCAGAAGACGCATTGCATTGGGCAAATGTGCTGCAAAAGGACTCTTTAAAGTGTTGAAAAGCAAAGATGTCACCTTGAGGACTGAGGTGCATCTGACAAAAGCCTTGGTGTTTTCAATCGCCGCATATGCATGTGAAAGCTGAACGATGAATAAGGAAGATCGACGAAGAACTGAAGCCTTTGAATTGTGGTGCTGGAAAAGAATATTGAATATACCATGGACTGCCAAAAGAACAAACAAATCTGTCTTGGAAGAAGTACGGCCAGAGTAGTCCTTGGAAGCAAAGACGGAGAGACTACATCTCACATACTTTGGACATGTTGTCAGGAGGGTTCAGTCCCTGGAGAAGAACACCATGCTTGGTAAACTAGAGGGTAAGTGAAAAAGACGAAGACCCTCAGTGAGATGGATTGACACAGTGGCTGCAACAATAGGCTCAAGCGTAACAACGATTATGAGGATGGCGCAAGACCGTGCAGTGTTTCGTTCTGTTGTACATAGGGTCTCTATGAGTCAGAACTGACTTCACTGCACCTTACAACAACAATATAATGGAAGGAGCCCTTCGTCATCCAAAAGTGTAAGTCACCAATATAAATCTCTGATTTTGATCTAAGGGACAATATGCCCCTAAAAGTAAAGTGAAGGTAACATAAATATGATTTAAAATAATAGATAAGTGCAAATAGATCATTAACACTAAAAATACAATTGCATTAAATCTATTAAAAACCGAAGAATAGATGGAAGAACTATTTAAGTAGATTAAGGTAAAATTCTGTTTTAAAAATTGTTGGAAATAAGATTGTTTTAGACTCACATTGCCTGGAGAACTGGGACCCTGAGGTAGGCTGGGGCTGAAGGCCATGAGGTCGGTCTTGGGCGGCCCCTCCCCAGAGCACACCCTCTGCCGCCTCTGCTGTGAGTACGACCAGCTCCCCACCGCGCTGGAGCACACCAGCGTGGGCTTCCCCTGCCCGCACTCGCCCTCTGTGGGCGGCGCCGAGCACCGCAGCGCCGTGTACAGCAGCAGCGTGAGCACCAGCAGGCTGGACACTGCGCAGATGGCGATGATCAGG